AATGAGCGCTCAGCTCGAGATACCAGCGAGCCGTTTCCCATCAAGCATTTCGCTTCCGCAGCCCGTGGAGAGCAACTGCGCCAACTCGCCTCGCCTCGCCTCGCTCTCAAGGCTGCGGGCGTCTTTGTCCCGCGAAATTTCAAAGTCTCATGTGGGCGGGCCTCCAGAGCAAGTCGGACAAAATGACTAACCATCATGCAACGCACTAGCAAGACGTTGATCGCAACTGCGCAGGTCTGCGCAGGTCTCAAACAAGCCTTATGTCTTGCATGTGCTAATAAAATTCTCATTACAGTATGCCTGGTATTTTGCCATGGAGGCCAGCTTTGACTTCAGCATTGTAAGTATTAAGGAAAGAAGTCACATTAAAATGCTATAACAAACTTAATGAAAATTGATGCTCTTTCTTTAGCATGACATGTCTCTCCTGAGAAGGTGGTGGTGTGTTATCCTGGTGGAAAACTTTGGACTGGAAGGGTATGCTGCAGTGCTACAAAAACATTTGAATTTGTAATTGTATTATCAAGAAGATTTGGGGGGAACACCTGGCTCTAAAATTCAACCTTCTGGTGAAGAAAATGTGTCTTAATTGCAGGTATGGAAAGAGGTTTGCTCACTATAGTGAGGAAGGCAGGGTGACCCTTAGCGACAATGTCCCACGTACATTCAGGATTAGTCGTAAAAGGACACATGCAAGCAGCACCATGGTCAGTGTATCGCTCAATGTATTTATGACCCTGTGTGCCTGTTTCAGAATGGGTTACTACTCCTAAAACACATACTACATAGAACTTATGGTACATGCAACATTTGTTTTGTGTGGTACTGTGTCTTTCTGAATCGAGCCTGGATCATTTTTGGAGGAGTTAAACCGTGCATGTAAAGCACTGTCAAAATAATGGTTGACTGTCTACAGATGCCCCTGGACACTGATGAGGACCACTCCTATAACAAGAGGCCTTACAGCTTCCTTCCTAAAGAGTCGGTTAGTGAATGGACACATTAAAGTGTACAACCCCTGATGCATGTGATTTTATAATATTACATATGACTTCTTTATACCATCTAGTCTTATCAGTAAGATGGAACTTTGTTCTCATGACCTCGCCAAGAACATGAGTGAGGAAGCGCACCAAAGGCTGAAGGACTTGTGAAAGATTCCGAGGAGTTTATTATTTACTCAATATTTTTTTAAGTTGACCAGCTCTGATTTTCCATTTGATGTTCTGTTCAATAAATGTTCATTGAGGAAAACGGTATCAGTGTCATATTTTATATACATCACAGTGAATGCTGAACTTGCCTGACCATATACTGCAGTTGAAAGTACACGATGAAACACTGGCTCAATCAATACAATTCCCACATGCTCTACCCCGGAACCTGCGGTCTTCAGACTCTGGCCCCCCGCACCAACCTGCGATCCTTCGGGGACAGAGCCTTCAGTATGGCAGCCCCCACTCTCTGGAACGCTCTCCCTGCGGAGATCTGCAACATCCCCACGCTTGATGCCTTCAAAAGGGCCCTCAAGTCCCATCTGTCTGCCAAGGCCTTTGGCCCCAAATCTATTTGTTGTTTTGTCTGACTGCCTTTTGTTATGTTTGTTTCTACTCCTGTTCTTCTTTTTAAAGGGACCTTGGGTCTCATGAAAGGCGCTATATATATCCCATTATTAATACATCATTGGTAAGCATTTTTACAATATTCTGGCTTTCACTGTTCAAATGAGATGTCAACCATCAAAATGGGATAAGGGGTTCCAAGGGGTTCTCAAACGGATAGGTTATTAATTTATTTGCCTAATAGTTGCTTAAAACGGATAGGTTATTAATTTAGTTGCTTAAAACGCCTAATAGTTGCTTAAAACGGATAGGTTATTAATTTATGTGCCTAATAGTGGCTTAAAACGCCTAATAGTTGCTTAAAACGGATAGGTTAATAACGCCTAATAGTTGCTTAAAACGGATAGGTTATTAATTTATTTGCCTAATAGTGGCTTAAAACGCCTAATAAAATTAAAATGCTACAATAACATGCCATGTACGGTCTCCACCGTAGGCGGCGTAGTTGTCGTCCATTCGCTTTTCATCTGCCATGCCTCTCAGCCACCGTAGTGTCAGGTGGGCGTGTCGTGTACCGCCGTGTACTGGCCGCGGCCGCAGCTAGACCATATTGGATATGTTCGGGCTACCAGATATGTTCGGGTGTATTTCCGTCGCATCCGTCATCCGTCATATCCGTCATATACTCACCTCCCTCTGCTCCCAGCGCTCTGCTGCCACACACCGGCCGTCTGCGGAACTGCAGCCGGAGGAACTCGGGACAGCTTGTTATGTGTGGGGTGCTATGGTGGTACTTGTGCACATAAATAATGTTTCTAATTATTTACAATTAAAAAATATATATATTCTGCGTTACTTTAGCCAACACTTTTATAAGGCGACTAGATTAGATAATTACGAAATGTGTAGATATAATACATATATTTCAGGTTGTTATTTTGTCATTATGTTTAATGTTTTATTTACCTTTTAGTATTTTTATATAGTATCTGAACTTTGGAGAGGAGTTGGGAGACACACGACACATCAAATCACATCTACAGATCAAGGCGAAGCGAATGGAAGTACTCCCATACTCCTAGCGTGAAAATGTTTGTGAAAACGTGTGCAAAGTCTCCGAAAATCCTAAAAATAAGCTCATATTTGAATTCCCCATAAAAAAACACATTATTCAGTAAAAACAAGCCCCCACTGATCATCTACTCTCCGAGACGATTCCAGGGATGTCTGGCTTGAGTTTCGACCACCAGGGAAAGTGGAAAAGTGCCCGAGATCAGCCTCTTAATTTACCCAGGGCCTAGTGCTTGGCTTTGGGCATGAAAAGTCAGGAAACTCCCCTGAGTATTTTATTAAATATCTTAACTTTGGAGAGGAGTTGGGGGACACACGACACATCAAATCACATCTACAGATCAAGACGAAGCTAGTGGAAGTACTCCTAGCGTGTGAAAATGTTTATGAAAAACGTGTGCAAAGTCTCCGAAAACGGAGCAGTGGCTGTGATGCTAGCTTTGCGGCTAGCGGTTAGTTGTTATTGTTTGAAGTTGTTGCTATAGAAACAACATGACGGAGAACAAATTAATATCTTCTACGTATAATAACGGACAAAGTAAAGAATGAAGTGTAGGCTATGCCTGTTTGAAGTTGTTGCTAAGGAAACAACATGACGGAGAAAAAGTATAATCTTCTACATATAATAATGGACAAAGTAAAGAATGAAGTGTCGGCTATGTTTAAATGTTCGGAATTTGACCATGATGGCCCTCTTGAGTTGCCGTAAAATATGACGAATATGACGGATGACGGATGCGACGGAAATACACCCGAACATATCTGGTAGCCCGAACATATCTGGTACTGACACCGCCTCGTTAATAGAAATCCAGTACCATGCTGTCATGAACGCGCGGTGCTGTTACGTGTACGTAAATTCGTGTGCTTAATGTGAACGAGCCTTTTGGGCGGCGTGGTTAAAGTTGCGCATGCGCTATGAGCGCACATACGGGTACTTCTCAGGCATGCCGGGTAATCTGTGACGTTTCGCTCTCTCAAAAGTTGGGCCATCATGCGCCATTGAGCAACTCTCATAGGAATGAATGAGGCCCCGCCTCCCACGCTGTATCCAGTTCTTATTATACATCCATGCTTGCAAAGCTGGCTCTTAAAACCCTTCCCAGACACTGGACGGCTGACAGCAGAACATGTGGTATACAACAAGAAAATTTGCAGCGCACGGGTAGTGGTTGAAAACGCATTTGGTAGACTGAAGGGAAGGTGGCGTTGCCTCATGAAAAGAAATGACTGTGATGTGAAACTTGTGAAATCCATGGTGCTGACATGCTGTGCTCTGCATAACCTCTGCGAGAGTCATGGAGGGTGATGATGGGTGGAATGCACCAGCAGCAGCAGAGCCTGGGGTAGCAGCGGCTCAAGGTGCAGAGGAGGAGGGCACTGACATCAGAGAGGGTTTGATGCGCTACCTGAATACCTAAATATGCGTTGTATTGTATTCATTGTATTGAACATAAATAAATCCTTTTTTTTTAATATACATGTGTTTGTCAAATGTTGTTATCTGAATTGAATATTTAGTAAATATTTGAATTTCAAGCACCAGTAAGTACTGCCCCATAATAAGAACATTTGAGGAAATATCAGATCATGAAAAGAAAATCTTTCTAATAAATTAAGCAAATATCAAAGCTAACTATAAACATAAATACTAAAGTGTAAAACACAGCAAAACTATATTCATAAATGCAAGTGTAAAATAGTGTGGACAATTGTAAACATGGATGGAGGCTAAAGTATCCACAACATAAAATAATATATTAAAATATAGCCTCAATCTTTCTTCTAGACATGTTAAAAGCTTGCTTGAATGGGTTATAGGTTTCTTTTGTTCTCTCGTCTTTGAAATATATAAGGAATGTGTTGTTTGAGTCTAGTAGAACGAGGGTAATATTACAATTGAGCAATTTCTACATGTATTATGTATTTATCATGTATTCTTAATACTATTACAAAATAAACATGTAATAATGTTTTAGAGGAGGACCTCAAGCTAGCAAACTCAATTTCTTGCTTTAAATCTCTTAAAACTAAGGGGCTTTTTCCTAACTGATGGTGTTTGTTATTGCTTTATAAATTCATGTATGTTTATATCTTCTCTAAATCAAGATTATGTGAATCTGATTTGTTTCTGTTGGGTGCAATTCATTATCAACAAGAGATAAGATAAGTAAAATAAGTACTTTATTGATGGCAGTATAAAAATAAAAATAAAATGTTGTATCAAAAAGGCATGCCATTAAACAATACAAATAAAAAATGTAAAACTGTATTGCAGCCAGCATAAATATACATGGCATTGTAAAAATAAAAATAAAATAAACATTTTAAAGAAAATAAATAAGAAAGTACAATTGTTGCATTTAAAAATTAACTAGATAAAAAATATATAATATGTACAATAACTATTAAGGTTATTTTAAGTATCACGGAGGAGACGGGCCACGTCGGCTGCCACGTCGGCTGCCCAGTCCCCCTAGCACCTCGCCAAGAGTGCGCAGGAAGGCTAGGTTGAAGGTCTCTGCTTGAGCGGCCTCCTCCCTTCTCAAGGCCGCATCCAACTCCCATCTCCGCTCAGCAGACGATTTGGCCCAGTCCAAGTGCCGTTCATGGTGCCGTTCCTACTGGGCCCGATCCTCTCCTCCTCGTTTCCTCTTGCCTGGGTGACAATAAGATAATAATTAGCAATAAGGAAAAAACACAGGACAGGTCACACAAGGATATAAGAATAACATGTATAAACAGAACAACAGTAAGGTGAACTAAAGAAAGTTCTGGCCCTAGATGTTTACAATGATTGTGAATTACATTATGTCCAGCCTGTTGATAATGAATATAAATATATGTATATGATAGGATGTCACACACAACTGTACTAGCTGCTTACTAGCTAAGACTTTACTTGTAACAGAGCATTTCCACACAGTGGTATAGCTTATTTTAATTACTGACGATGGATGATCCAAGGTTTAAAAAAACAAAACACAATTCCAGTCGTTTTTGCCATTTCTATTTCTTACCTAGAACCACACGCTGCGGTGTCGTGATGGCACTCGGCGTTGGTGGTTGAGTTGGTGTCGGTTCTTCGGCTGGTGTCTGGTCGAGCTGGGGTCCGTTCTGGATTCGATGACGATGTTGTGGACGGAACACTGCCATCACCCGTTGTTCGGGAATGTTCCTCCTCACGAGTCCCAATGTAATCATCTAGAACAGCAAAATGACTTGTTAATTCCACAAACTACTGCAGCACAATACTAAATAGCAACAACAACTATAGAAAAGAAAAAACTGAACGTAAACAATGGCATATATGGTGTTAGCAAACAATAGCTCTAGCTAAGGCTATCTGCCTAGGCTATCTGCCTTAGCTAGCTATGTAGCTCTTCGGGGCTCCATAAAAGCATGGGTTGTCGAACATTAATGTAAGGATAAAATAGACTTCTTTGTTAGAAGTGAGCGTACCTTGCAGGGACTCCAGTAAAGCCGTTGCAGAGTCCAGGCCTCCCTCCCTCCCAACGTTGGCCGGTCTATGGCCGTAAATCTGGTCCAACAAGTCGAACCACTTCCATTGTTTCCTACCCGCACCACTCGTGTTATTGTTGTCCTTTACTTGGCGATATTCACTCATCTTTTTGAGTTTTTCCCTACACTGTCCTCGAAAATCCGCGTTCGGACATCTGTGCAGAGACATCCTGGAACACTTTCACATTTCGCGTTGTTCCGTCGAGCTCCCGCTGGATTTTATCATCCCCAATGAGATTAAGGAACGTCGTCACCTCCTCGGTCGACCACGGTGTGCTTTTCTTCGACGTTGCCATTTTTGTAACTCCTCCGTTTACAAAATGCTGTTTATAAAATGCTGCAAGCTTGCTTCTAGATATATATGCGACGCTAGGGATGATCTCGCGCGCGATCTTGTGACGATTCTCTCTGACCAATCAGCCGTAGAGAGTGTTGACGTCACTAGTTCAGCCCTGGCCTGGCCTGATAGAACCACGATTTTATGGGGCCGGAAAAAGAGGGAAAAAGTACCCGCTAGCCGGTGCTAGGCTATATGGAGAGGCCACCAAAACTGGCCTGGCCGCTTGAGGACGGTTAAGGACGCTTAAACGGGGCTACCCGCTGCAGTGGAAATGCGCCATTAGACACCCCGGGCCAGCATAACGTACTTTCCACTTGCCCCGCTCGGGCCACTAAAATATTGCTTAAAAAAATGTCCTGTGGTATTGGTATTTTGACTAGCAATTTAGTTAAATTGTTTCGTTTATCAACGCTACAACATAGCGTTCCGTGAGTCGGTTGTTGTTGTTGGGTGAAAAGCAAACAGCTGTTTGCTGCGGAGCGCAGCGCGAGCAGGCTCCCGTGAGCGGGAGCGCGCTCCTTCACTACAGACTATCGCGCCACCTAACCATTCGCCAAAAATGTTTTTAATACCAGCGGTAGCCGGGCAAAAAACAATCTTCAAATAATAGAAAGTCACCGGAGGAGTTAAAGGAGAGTTTTCATAGGGGTGGCCAAATGGGGCCACTGAAAATCTTGGGGTGGCCCACCAAAACCAAGCATTTAATTGTTGTAAAAGTATAGACTAGATGAAAACAATGGCAAAGAGAATCACCTACTGATATACTTTGGTTTCTTATTTTACATTTTCTAATACTATTCATCTGAAGTGAGTATAATACGGATAGTTAACATTTTACTTCAAACAACATTTAAAAGAACCTTGTTTTGTGTTATGTATACATGTGTTTGGTGCTGCGTACCGGTACGCCGAACCGGTACTGGACTTGTAAAAAGTTTCGGTTCAAGTCCGGTTAAAACCGGAACGTCGGGAACCGGTACTTGGACTCGCAAAAAAACTAGCATTTACGTATATTCTGGTGTCTATGGTTATTTAAACATTCCCTGATAAACGTTATTCAGCCTCAATAAATGAGTGCTAATCCCAGTGTGCTCAGTGTACAACATCACATGTCATTTCACCTTCGATTCACGGTTTGAAAATGTAGCATTTCGCCACATGCTAATGCTAACCGGAAGTGAATAATCTTCAGAATAAAAGTATTAAGTTAATAGTGTGAACTTCCGGTTTTTTCAGAATAAAACTGAATTAAATAGTGTATTTAATTCAAAATTACGCCATATCAACATTGATTTTAATTTCTAACAGTATGCATGTACATCACTATGTAGTATGTACTGTATAATGTACACATGTAGAGTTGTAGAAAATACATGGTGTACAGACAGTACACTCTGACTGTACAGTCACTACAGTGTAGCCTATACTGTATAGTAGGTGTGTAACAGTGTAATGCGTATAGTCTACTCTACACTACCTTTCAGCAACGTTTTAGGGATTTAGGCTCAGTCAGCTCAGGGACTGTTGGTTACTTTTAGTTTGGTAAATGAAATAAATGTTTGAACTTTGTAGTAGTTCACTGTAGTTGCTGTCATAAGTCATTTGTAGACTAAGTGGCAAAACGTGTTTTTTTTACATTTGTACTTTGTAGAGAAATGTAGACAAAAGTTGGAAGGGAGCACAATAAACCTGACAAGTTTGAATTTGAGTTGATTATGAGTTAATTTTCAATTGATAATTAGCTCACAATAAGTTCACTTTAGTTTCTCACATAACTTGACACAAGCCATGGGTTCAGGTCCGGACTTATAAGTCCGGACCTGAACCTGAACCTCTGGACTTGAGTCCGGACCTGAACCTGAATGTGAGTCCAGGTACGCAGCACTACATGTGTTGGTGATTTATTGTTTTGTTTTTTATATAGTTATTTCCTTTTAAAAAGACAAATACAGCTTAATTTAAATAAGTTTCTTTATTGTAAGGCACAACATGTTCAGCATTCTCAACACATACAATACACAACAGCAACACAAACATGTTCTTCAGTTATATTATGTCTCTAGGTTATAAATAGTTTTAGACTGAACAAAGCTGTTTGTGTCACACTGGGATCAAAGATGATTGACATGACTTTATTGAATCAAGTTTTAAAACATGACTATTTTATTTCAACAGGACCCAAAACACAAGGGTATAACATGGTAAATACATACTGTGATTGAACACAAACACACCATCTATTATTGACCTTTATAGCAAATTCAAAACATTATAAATGATACAAAACACCACCTTTTAGTATTAGACAGAAAATAGGTGACGAGACATATTTCTATTTTTTTAGATTAGGCCACTGTGGTGGCATATATACATATAGCTTGTATTCCATTTGTTTTGTATATGTATATTTATACTTTATAAACAAACTGGTTACCCTTTTTTTTTAATTAGCATACAGAACATTATGAAAACAAACTTGACTAATGGTCGGCTCATAACCTCAGAACACAGAAGAGGAAAAACTGCATAGATTCTCGTTTCATTTTGAAGGAGCTGCAGACCTAAAGTGTGTAGAAGACTTAAATGATTACAAAGGTCACAATCACATTAATAAAACTGTACTTAGGTTTTAGTTTCACTTTTACCAAAATAGAGTTCCACATGTACTTTCTAGCATGTATGGCCATCTCCTCACTAGCCCTATATGCTGCTGCTCCCCTGTCAGCTCTGTCTCTCCTTTACTCATCTTCTTCTTCAAATAAGAAGAGATGTCTGTTGACTTTCTCTTCATTTTCTGCCAAATTGACATTACACACAGCAGTGATTAATAGTAGCCTACGCCATTACGGGCCGTCCACACAGCAGCTTTGACCAAATCTTGAAAATCCTGGAGCTGGGCGTGTCTGACAGCTTGGGGATTTCGCGACCAACAACCAATTACATGAATATCACATGAATATCCCGCCCCCGACATACAAAGCAAAAAAACCCGGTTCTTCTACACCAGGGGTGCCCACACTTTTTGGGCTGGTGAGGCTACTTTTTGAAATGACCAGCTCACCGAGGTCTACCCAACCAAAAATAAAATCCCAAATTGCAAGGGTTGCTGAATAACACGTTTTATTTATACATGGGATAATAGGGCTGCAACAAACGACTTAATTTGATAATCGATTAATCTATCGATTAATTGAAAACGGACTAATCGACTATTCAGACTATTACTGTATGCCTTGCACAATTTCTCAAACGCTCTTGTTTAGCCATCAACTTTTAGATTTAGCTTGAGGTTGTTTTAGGCATGTGGAAACTAACAAGACAATAAAGATGAATACTTGATTCAAAAATACATATTATTAAATTAACTAATTGTGAACAAAACTAACATTGCTTTTTATTTAAATTAAATAATAATATTCACATCAAAAGAAACAACAATGTTTTAACCAAATCGTATTAAATAATCTGATGACAGAACTGTGAACAGAATAGCTGTAACTTTAACAAAATAAAGAGTAACTCAGTTACCTATAATTATTAACCCATGTTTGAATCATTGAGTTAACTGCGTTGTGTTGCTGCTAGCATACAGAACACCTGGACGTGGAAACGTTACTCGTGGATGGGGCTACAGAGCTACTAGAAAGACAGTCGAGCCCGGTTCATTCCTCCGTCTGAATGTGGTGCACTTTTGCTAAATGTTTGACCACATTGCTCGTGTTACCGCCCCTCACATGCTGAACCTCTCTTGGCAAGGAGCATTGTCCACCTCAAGACGGGTAACATTTAACCACACCTTGGAGAGCTTCTCTCCGCCATCTCCTCAGTGTGTTGCTGCATGTAGCAGCCGCGTGTGTGTAAAACTGCCCCCGCCCCCTCGCGCACAGACGGGGGAGAGAGATCTCGTCTCGATTGGAAAGATCGAAAATACACCGACATTTGTTTGTCTTTTTTGCATGTTAGAAACGAGTTGGCGACACTAAGACTGCGAGATAATGTTTGTGTAGCAATAATACATGACCTTTCTCTTTCTCAACTCGCTACTCGGAGGGAAGTCGCTGTCATATGCCTTGTGAACACTCCGATAATGCCCTCTCCACGTTACCTTTCTTTGGCAGAGCGACGCTTTTGCTTACAAATAAGGCAAATAACCTTTGAATGTGACACTCACAAACAAATATTCTTCCTCCCATTCTGGGTGGGAAGTGGTTTGTCTTTAGCTTCTTGCTCGGTTCCCGCACTCATTTTGTTGTTTGTCTCTTGTTTGTCTCTTTAACTTAATTTGAGTTCTCCCGGCACTTGACTGATTTTGTATCGCTTTGCATTCTGGGTTAAACAGACTGGAAAGCGATAGGTCGCTTTTTCTGTCAATCAAGTAAACTCCTGAATTAAGTGGCAGGGAGGCCAAGGGAGGAGGGATCAAAACCTGTTTTGTCTATTTTAACGGAACAGGATTTTTTTTTTTATGAATGACTCGCGATCTACCAGCATTGCCCCCGCGGTCGACCGGTCGCCCGCGGTCGACGTACTGGGCACCTCTGTTCTACACTATTGTCAAATAGGAAGGGCTATGATGAACATTTATTTTTTTAACATTTTGAACATTTATGAGATTAATGTTTATGGTGCTATTTTATTGCTACATTCCATGCTGGCTAATGATACTGTCTATGCTTGCTAGCAACGAAGTTAAAACTAGCAACGAAGTAGTAACTGGATATAAAATCCCCAAACAAGCGAAAACCTACCAGTTTTC